GTATTTCAATTCTAGCCCAAATTGGACCCCAAATCCCCCAGCCCAATTTTAATTGTAATCCGACCCTAACCTAATTTTATAACCCGACCCACCTAACCTCTATAATCTCGTCCGTTGATCTCCCAGATCAATGGTCCCCGTTCCACCTGCCTAAAATTAACCCAAATGACCCCTTAACCTAACTCATTTCTACCAACCCGCCGCCCTCGAATCCCCTTCCTCTCCAATTCTCCCTACAACCTCACTCAAACCCTATCCGCCACCACCCAAATCAACCCTAATCCCCTTCGATCCCCACTCAGTCCATGGACTCCCATGGCTGTTTGAGATGTATACCGGTCTCCTATGTCTACTAGTTGCCTGTTATGTGATTTCATGGAAAGATCTCGAGAGATCTAGTCCAGTCTTTGCTCAACTTCTATCTATGGCCCTTTTTCGGCCATCCATGGCCGTTCAAGTCAGATCCATGGCTTTTCCGGCTAGATCGGTAACTTTTCGAAGTTTTTCTCACTCTTCTGGGTCCTCCGAAACCCTAACTTTTAAGATTTTTTAATTTTCTTTCAGATCTGTCTTAGATCTGTGTATGTTATGAACCTTTTGATGTTTTCCTCAAAGGTTTCTCCGATTCTTTTCCAAAGTGATTCTTCGTCTTCAAGATTAGGGTTTCTTAAACCTTTTTTAAGACTTTTCCTCTGATTTTTCAGTATTATCTTATGATTTTGCTACGTTTAAATCGTTTGTTTATGTCTTTCTTCTACCTGGTTCATCGTGTTGAAAACCCTAAGTATTTTGGTTTTATCCGAGGTTTGGAACTGTCTTTGTTTATTGTGTGTACTTGTTTCGATTGAGTTCTTCATGGTTAAATCCTTTTCTTTGTTTGTCTTGACTGAGTCTGAGTTCTCACCGTTTTGTTAAAACCCTAATTTCCTAAAACTTTTCTTACTTGTTACTGTGAGTTTTTTAAAGACTTCCTTTACTCATTTCCGTGTGTGTTGGTCTGATCTCCTTTACCTGTTGCTATGTGTTAGACTGGTTTCTTCATTTTGGTTCTATGTGTGAGCCATGACTGCTTGACCTTGTTGATTTCCATGCTTGAGTAGTCCTTAGCCTATTCATGTCACTTCTGTACGCTTATGTTCATCTAATTTGCTTTTTTTGTCAATAGGTTTGACCCTGCATGTCTGATACGCCTGTTCATTCTTTTCTATTTATATATTGAATGGCAGAATTATGATTCCTTCTTGATTGATATTGATTTCCTCTAGTTACGATTGATTGCAAAGGTTTTCTTATAAACCCCTAATTTTACTCATTTGATTAAGTTGATTGATTCCTATTCCTTTATTTGCTGTGATGTTTCACCCCTGCTGAATCCTTTCCCCAAATTAAGTATATTATGTACTTAGACTCAATTATATGCCCTATACTTTTACTGCCCCTTATATGGTAAAAATCAATCTCCCTCAAACTGATTTTCTTTCCTTAAATATCATGTTAGTATCCGTTTGAGCAGTAACTCCTTGATTTAAGGGAAGTACTTGTATTAACTGATTCTAATGATGATTATTTCTATATTTATGTTAAACCTTTACTTGTTACCTTATTTTATACTCGTTTTCAAAGCTATAAATACCCTATCCTCTCTTCTCTAAAGACACGAATAACTAAGTTCAAAGACACACACTTACACATTCAAACTCTCTTTCTTTCTCTACTACTTGTGCTACTGCCTTGTCAAGTCGGCTGAAAGCCAAGGCTAGACTGTGGAATTCTGATTGCTTTACTTTTCTTTTCCTTCACTTTGCTTCTTCAACTGGTATGTCCCTAGTTTAAATTCTGAAACTCAAACCTATGTGTTCCCCTTTTGTCAATCACTGTCTCTTTTTGCACTGACTTAATGGCTCATGCTGTTGCACCTTTTGTTTACTGCTCAACATGCTTAAATTTCTGCCCTCTTTTGTTCAAATGTAATTGGTATTTACTTGTTCCTGCTTATGTCCCTCAACTAGCATGTCTTCTAATGTACTTGATTCATGACTAATTATGTGTTTCTGTTTTGGGTCCTCTATGTCCCCAACCCCTACTCCCCTGTTTGTAACTGCTGAAGCATGTACTCCTCTCTGAACTTGTTATGTGGTTTTGTTGCTCCTATCCCTTGCTCCATTTCAAAACTCTTCTGTTGTTCTACAAACTTATTTCAAACATGCTGTTTTTAAAACTATTTCAAGCACTCCTACATGCACTCTTAGATCATTAGGTTCTGCCCCTCTTGTGTGAGCCTTGCTTTGGGACCCTTGAGCTCCCTGTGAACCTGGACACATAAGGGTTGGCCCTTCCACACTGCACCAACTCTTGGTTATGCAATCTGGGTGTGAGCACTGCCCGGGATCCCTTGAGGTCCTTAGGGAACTCTGACACACCTAGGTAGGAGAGAAAGCTATGGAACACTATTGGCATTCGAGGTGGTTTATTACATAACTCAGAGAGGAAGTCAGAATCAGGCTTCCTATAGTTGTAACTTTTTTTTTTCTGCTTATGTAATTCAATCACACGGCCTGTAATGATTGGTAAACAAGTATTGGGGTCGCTAGTGAAAAGGGATGGGAAAATATGCATGCTATAGTTGTTAAAGGGTAGAAAGCATGATATTAGGTTTATATTCCTAATTGTGCAATAGAAACCATGTTTAGGAGTCATTATGCATTAGAAATCATGCTCTTAGGACCTTTTGTTTCTTGCTTCAACACTTCATTCATTAGTCCATGTTTATGTCTATCACTTAGAAATCTTGCTCCTAGGACAATAACAACACTGGTATAAAAAGGCTGTTATTCCAGAAAACATGCAACTATTATGTACACTTAGAAACCATGCCTTAGGGATTCCGCCATTTGCATGTATTAGATATCATGTCCTAATATCCTGTTTGCATTTCGTTTAAAACGCCTAGTTGATTCATGAAAAGGTAGTAAAGTAATAATTTTCACATTGTGATGCTTCTGAATAAAATTGGTAACCATCTCTGCAACTAGAATAGCATGTTTTAGGTAAGGAATAATCTCCAAACTGTTCTTAATAACTTGGGATAACTATTGCATATCGCTTTACGCCTAAGCAAGCCTTAGGTAATTACTTTAATAAAACTAGAACTGCCTTTGTTCAATTATCAACTGTTAAAATCAGTAGGCAAAACCTGATTCGGACTTCTTTTCCGAGTCATGTGATAAATCTGGTTCTGATGTTATCACTCAAACACTCTGCTTTAAGATTTTAAATTCAGACCTTAACTGTGTATAACTCATGCTGTCTATGTGCACTATCTGCGGAGGTAAACCTGAGCCTTCTATTTGCTTTGTATGTTTCCCCTTCTAAAATGCAGTCTTATGTGTTTTTGTCTGTCGCTTTAGTATTTTTGCCTTTGAACCTGAGGGTCTGCCTAGAACCTCCATCTTATAGGAATAGGAGTCCTAAATTTCTCCGGGACTGATAGGAAGGGACGGGTAACAGCATGCAATAAGAGTCGAGACCAACCCTCGCTTTAATTACCTTCACGGGGCGGGAAAGGGTAGATATGGATATGATGACCGGTGCGATAATACCACGTGTATCCCCTCTTTGAGGAGTGTCATACCGGGTATTGCATTGATGTGATCCACATTACAAACAAACCTAGGACCCCTTTACATTCATAAGCATGCTTAGATTATAACTCTTTTCAAAACCTTGCTTTTATTAATCGTTTTTCAAACGCTTGTGTATTTTAACCTAAATCCCCTGCTATGTGAGCCTTACTTATCTACTTGCTAATAGCACAAATTCACAAAAAACTGTCTGGCGGGGAACCACACTAGTGGATCCTGAGGGGTGCCTAACACCTTCCCCTTAGGATAATTTCAAGCCCTTACCCTATCTCTGATTATTAAACGTAGTTGTAGATAAACCCTGTAGGTGCCCTAACGCACCTTAAAAATCGTTAGGTGGCGACTCTTCAAAAAATCCAATACCCAATTTCCAAAAGGAAATGAGTCATTACACCTCCATGAATGTCGAAAACCGGACTCCTCTCCGCGGAGGGAAAAAGGGGGCGCGACAGATGGGCGCCAAACTGTTTACCCTAAAAAACGGATAACAATTGAATTTATATGTGGTTTTAAGGATATGCAGATTAATTCAATACAAATAATTAATGGTGTTAGATTAAACAGATAAAGGACGTAATAAATTGCCAAACCAATAGTGAAAGTGATCCCGGACTCAGTAATGACTTAATGAAGTGCATGCCTCCTCAATCCCGGGCTCATAATAATGGAGAACTGATGAACAAAAGTTGGAATAGAGAAAAATAATGATATATTGCCTTGATATGTGTGTTACAGTGTGTCCTATGAATATAAGTTTTCCCCTTTATACAGTAGGGAGTTTTACCCTAAGTACAATTTTAAGAAAGATAAAAATCTTTCATCTTGCTATTCAGTAATCTACTACTGATACGGGCCGAGGTTTACACCGTGACATCCGGTTGGGCACGGATATCATGACCCTTTGTTAGTCGTGTGCGATCGTTTGGTAATGCCTCCCGAAGCTTTGTGGTTACCTGGGGGTGTGGCCCCGATGCTTCCGAGGGCAGGTATTTTGCTTGAACCTCGATGCGAGCTGCTCCTTGCCCTGACTCTGATTCTTACGGTCACATCTCTGCTCCGTTCTTCACCAAAATTCGAGGTGTCCGACGGGCTCGGTTTCACCCGTATACAATATGCACTTTCTTGTTTTTATAAATCTTTAAATTAATTTTTATAAGATAAAGACTTAAAATTCGCCGTTTAGCTATAAAAATTATCAATTTGCTAATACAAAAAATTATTTGTAAATACTGACTTTGGCACAGATACTTTAGTATGAGAAAAATATTTAAACACTTGTTTGAATATGAAATAAGAATTTTTATTTATAAATATCTAACTTTGTTTTTAAGGAAAATCATATCCAAACACAATTAGAACCAAATACTACATTAGTACTATTTTTACAAATTGAACTTTTAATAATTTTCTTTCAACCAGGTACAGCCTAATCGTCTATTGTCTTTGAAGTTTGAATTGGCCAAGTGTGCTACCGTGTCATCAACAGGAAGAGAATGAGCAGAGGTATCGACAACAACAAGAAGAAGAAGACGGAAGACGACGAGGTTGAAGAGCTGCTGCGCGCGGCGGAGGATGATGTGTTCCTCAAGCTCAGCCTCAATTCCCATATGGCTCGTGGTTCTTCCACCCAATTCATCGATCCAGATCTCGATCAACGTTTCCGTGCCCTCAAATCCAAGCAAACCCCCAAAACCAAAAACCCTAATCCCCAACAACCATGTTCAACCTCTACAGCTTCCGATGATAACTTGTTTCCCAGATTTGCAGCTCTCAAAAGCTCCCTTCCCGCTTATTCTTCTTCGGCTAACCAACAGGCTGCGGAGGACAATGAAGAGGATGACGATGAAGTTGAGAAGGTGATTAAGTGGGCCATTGATGCTGCTAGGCTTGACCCTTCACCTCCCTCTGACACTGATGAAGATGAAAATAGTGAGGATGATGTCAGCTAAGCGGAAATGATTTATGAACGTGTGGTATTTCTTGTTGAATTGTGGTTGGATGTTTAGATTTGATATTGGTAAGAACTTGTATCTATTGTCATTCTTATTGCTATGCTGATACTACTTGTTTATGCTTACTGTTAACCAAAGTTGCTTGTTTACATTATTAGGCTTAGTAATATATATTCCCCTAAAAGTTAAAATGTAATCCTAATTGTACTTTAATATTGATAGACGAAACCTAGAATATGAGATTGTCTTTTTAATACCCTGCCGTTGTTCAAAGATCATAAACTCCCAAATGGTCTGTGTCTCTGTTGATACATGGATGATTTTCTGGTCGCTGGAATTCTCAACTTAAAAGCAATAGTGTGCAGTGTACTCCTCTAACATTTGGATGATAGAACACGTTCCTTATGAACAGATGATATTTGTATAACTGGTGTTGTATCCAAAAGCTAGTTTTGTAGCCTGAGGATTTAGTTAGAAAATCTCATATGTACTATTAGTGATAAATAGTAGGAGTACCTTGTTTTTGTTTATTATATATACTGCTTTAGGCATCTGTATAAATGGAGACGCGCTTCCGGTATTTTGTGTGACAAGGTCACCGAATCTTAAGGGTAAATTCTACAGAGTGGTGGTCAGACCAACGATGTTGTATGGGGCTGAGTGTTGGCCAGTCAAGATGGCTCATGTTCAGAAGATGAAGGTAGCAGAGATGAGGATGTTGAGATGGATGTGCGGGTACACCAGGTTAGATAGGATCAAAAATGAGGTTATTCGCGATAAGGTGGGTGTGACCCTATTGACGACAAGATGCGGGAAACACGACTTAGGTGGTTTGGTAATGTGAGGAGGAGGAGCACAGACGCCCCGGTGAGGAGGCATGAGATGTTGACATTGGAGGGTCTACAGAGAGGTAGGCCAAAGAAAAGGTGATTAGGCAAGATATGACGCAGCTTCAACTGACCGAGGACATGATCCTTGATAGGAAGGTATGAATGTCGAGGATTAGTGTAGTAGAGTAGGTAGTCTAGAGTGTTCATATCAGTAGTATTGGTACGCAGTCTCGCTTTCTGTTGGTAGTAGGTTTTTATGACTAACCGTTGTTTTTTTCCATTGTTGATCACCTTACTGTCTTGTTTTTATTCTGCTTTTATATGGCTTTTTGGTGTTGTCCCTTCTTGTCTATATTTTCATTAATGTGGCACTTATGTTTTCCTGAGCCGATGGTCTATTGGAAACAACCTCTCTATCCTTATAAGGTCTGCGTACACACTCCCTTCCCCCGACCCCATGGTGTGAGATAATAGTGGGTATATTATCCTTGTTCTAGCTGCTTTAGGCATCTGTATCTTATGTTACTGATTCTTCATTAACTTTCACATCTACTGTTTGTATCAAATTTTATACTAATATGTCTAGCCTAGGCATCATCAATACACTGATTTTTATGTTTTCAACCTCAATTGTGTAAGTAGATATTTTCTCTGGTTGAACAGGGGACTGGTCCGGTGCAAATAAGGTAAGGGTATTAAACGGGTGGGCCGGGCCGGTTCGAGTTGGAAAACAATGAAACCGGGCGGTTTCGGTTCCGGACCGGTTACGGGTTAGTCTTTACCGGGCTTAACGGGTCCGGGTTCATCCGGATAAAAATAAACCGTAAGGGTTACGGGTCCAAGGGGCCGGGCCGGGTTAGTGTTTTTTTTAATTTTTTTGTTTGTATTTTGTATAACTATTGTAATTTATTAATATAAAGTAAAAATATAAAGAATACAATGAAGATGGAAAAAATTGCACTTATAAATTGCAAGTGCTACATTTATTTCAAAATTCAAACTTACAAATTGAAAGTTTTACATTTAACAAGTAAATTAACGAAAAAAGAGTAAATTCAAAGGTTTTGCATTGCCTTAGACTCTTTACCTTAAAAAAACAAATTGGTATCTAGCCGTTAAACTTGACTTGTCTTGGCCGGGTCGGGCCGGGCCAGGCCGATTAACCGGTTCTACATGGATTTTGGTTGACCGAATTTGACCGGTCCGGTTAACCGGATGAATTAAATTGAACGGGCCAACCCCCTAACTCCAGTAACTCAGCCCACCCGGCCCCTAAGTACCGGGCCGGGTCGGGCCCGGGTCAACCCAGCCCGTTTGACACCTCTAAAATAAGGTGACCATTTCAACCTTGTTTCAGTTCACAATATTTCTTATGGTGTACAAATAAAACCGACAAACCGCACCAACCCGCTAATCCGAGTCAAATCGAGAAAAAAAAATCTGACTATGGTTTGGTTTGATTTGGGTTGGTGTTGGAAGAAAAAATCCGACCATAATTGGTTTGGTTTGGTTTTAACTAAAAAAATCAAACCGAAACCAAACCAACCCGGCATTATATGTATATAAGTTTTAAATATGTTTAATACATAAAAATATTTATTGTAGTGTAGTTTATAAATATTTCTTAAACTTTTTTCATAGTTTTATCTTTTAACGTATTATTTCAAGCTTTGACTTATAATTTTTGGATGCTCCAATTAGTTTTCTAGTACTTATTAGTCGTACTTATTTTAGCAACTTAGTAATTTTAAATTATATTTGTTTTCATTATGGTTTATTAATATATATATTTATTTTATGCGATTTTATTATCTTTCTTGTTGAATATTTTAGTACAATGTCATGACCCATCTCATATTTATGTTATTTTATTGAAAAACACCTTATATAGTTCTGTCTTACCTAGGGTTAAAGAAATATTTGGAACACAAATTCTATAATTTGTGCTATGAAGACTTTATTGAAAAAAAAAACCGAAAAACCCCGAAAACCCGAGAAAGCCCGAGACTAAAGAATCCGACTTTTATTGATTTGGTTTGATCCTTAAATTTAATAACCCGACATAACTGGTTTGGTTTGATAATTGAAAAATTCGAACCAACTCAACCTATGTACACCCCTAATTGCTATATAACAAAGAGAGATGCATGGCTGGCTGCTTATGGTATTTGTTTATTGATCCCTTATAATCTTAGTGTGCACCGACAATAGTGGGGCCATAACATGGAAAAGTGCTATAATTTTCATGGATTTTGGTTATAATTCGCCGATGATGTAACAATTCTTTTATGTTATTAATGAATTTTAACATGTGATAGATAGTATGTTAGTTATACGTTTCACCTAATTATCAATTAGTAATTATTTGAAATTTACTTGTAATTGCCTAATAAAGGGTGATTTTTAAAGATAGCCAAATTTATAACTGGTCGTTCAAAAATAGCTCAATTTCAAAAGTAATCGAAATTTAGCCACTTTTTATGTAAAGATAAATCTGAGCGTAAACACTGTTCAAAACCCGGAAAATACTCCAGTATATTATGCTGGAGTTCCAGCATAAGTATACTTGAACTCCAACATATTATACTGGAGTTCCAGGATAGTATGCTGGAACTCCAGCATAATATGATGGAGTTCCAGCATAAATACACTAGAACTCCAGCATAATATGCTGGAGTTCCAGCAAGTATAATGGTCCAGTATAATATACTGGAGTTTGGAGCACCAGTGCTCCAGTCTCCAGTATATTATACTGGAGCCAGCAAAGTATACCGGTCCAGCATAATATGCTGGAGTTCATACACAAGTGCACCGAACTCCAGTATATTATGCTGGACCGGTCTTTATTGCAGCAAAACGGTGGCTATTTTTTATTGACTTGGTAAACGCTGGCTATTTTTGATTGACCAGTCCGAAAACTGGCTATACCGTGAAATTTTGGCATCGATTGACCACCACAAAAGGCCTCAAAGTTTTGCCATGCAATCCATAAATCAACACAATCGGTTAGAAGTAGAGACAAGATATAGTCGAAGAGAGAAAAAATATTTTCATTAATTAGTCAAATACAACTTGTGCATCCTTATATATCTCACTATGCATTAACAACCTTCTAACTAACTACTAACAGACTAACTCCCTCTAGTTTCTACTTATTGCAAAGTGACCCCTCACTAACTCTTTTGTGTTATTCTGTTAACTATCACAACACATATTGCTAGTTTATCTGAACATGCTATTATTTGTTTCTTTTTTCAGGATTGTACCTTATTATTGGAATTGTGGAAGTAACCTTACAATTTTTAATTACAAAGAAGATCTTAGTACACACTTCAATTAAGAACAATACAAAGAACCAGCAAAACTCCAAGGCAGTAAAAGAGAACAAATAGCGAATTCTCTACTCTAACAGGGACAAGATGGCTAGGATCATAATGATAGTCCTCATGTACAAACGCATAGGTAGAAACTGGCAATGAATGAATGTGACGGAACTGCTCAGTACTCTGCTCGGCCTCGTTGTCTTCAACTCTGCCACTTTCTTCTTTTTCCTCCGCGGCGGCGCCATCTTCTTCATTTGGTTCAGGCGCAACGAGTTCAACTCTCTTCTTCAGTTTCCCCTTTAGTTTCTTTTGCAGCTTCACTGGATTCAATTTGCCAACTAATTTTACCATGAACTTTGTTCCCTTCTGCTCGATTGAAATCCCTGATGACTTTAGGCCTTTATTATCCTGCAAATCTTGAATGCATTTGTGAACTCTTGAATTGCAACCTTTACAGGCACAGTGCATGTCTATTTCAAAGTTTGCACTGACATTTTGCTCGATTTCTTCTTCCATCACTTGAATCAAGAAAATTGTTATATGTATTTTTCGACAACACAGTTCTTGTAAGGAATTAGGCTCAGTTTCTTCCATTTTTATACATGTTATATTGTGTGCATCAGGTTAATTAGTTCAAGAAAATCCAGAAATTTGAAACCGCGTTCATGGTACTGAGAAATTGCCTTCCAATTTAAGGGCAACTGTCCTTGTGGCCGTGCATTTTACTTACTCGTCTTATTACGCGAATGTGGACCTTGACTTTTGGGCTGTGGGGTTCTTAGCCTTTTAACTCCTACCATAATCTTTCCATACAACTTTCACTCTCAACATTATGCAAATATAATTTTTCACCGCTCAAATATATTTGGTTTGTTGAACTAATATTTGAGTCACACTTACAAATTCGAAAATTAGATTAGAAGTTTGAGTTTTTTTATAAAAAAAAAAAAAAAAATTGAATAGTAATTTCAAGAACCTATTTGGAGTTGAACGTTGCCTTTGCAAAGTTAAATATAAGTCACTTAGTTGCAATATATGTGTGTTAGTTGTATTTATATGTAATTCCCCTAATCAATAATTCGGAAACAGCCTCTCTACTCCTTCGGGGTAGGGGTAAGGTCTGCGTACACACTACCCTCCCCAAACCTCACTAGTGGGATTTGACTGGGTCGTTGTTGTCCCCTAATCAATAAGAGTTGTTGTGGAGTGATAATTACTCATCCATCCTTAACAAGAGGTTTCAGGTTCGAGCTCTGGTATGGAGTCGCTTTTGATATGGTTACCTTAATGTGAAACTTCCAGACGTGAATCTGGATTTAGTCGAGTCCCAATGTAAGTACCGAACACCGAATAAAACCCCCAAAAGAAAATCATATCGTATCGGTAAATACCATTTACATAGGTGATCAAATTTGGTGTGATCTGTAAATATACTATTTCACATAACGACCATCGGATACAATATCAAAGGACTAATATGTTTTCACTTGTTCAATTTCCACTTCAAAACTTGGTTATATATATGAAACGGCAATTCGTCGAAGAATAGACGCGGGGAGAATACTATAGAACTGTATTCATAGACGGGATTGAGAATTTTTTTGTAAATAAAAGTGTTACGTAAACATTAGAAATCTTACTCAACACGAATTAATTCACGTGGACTCCAATAATGACACAAGGCTTAACCCTAAATTCAATTTAACACTGGGTAATAAAACCATACATATATGATACTGATAATGCATCTCAAATGAATGGTTTAATACATGTCAACAAATAGAAATTAAACACATTATGTTTAGCAAGACGATACATAATATATCTCCTTAAAAGAAAACAAAAAACTAAACAAAAGAAGAAGAAAAACAGATAAAAAATTAATGCAGAAATCAAAGTGATTTAGAGAGCGTTAATTACAGCTCTTAAGACATTGATCTAGAGAAGAGATCAAATCCAAATCTTCTTTCTTGTTATATAATAAAATTCTTCTACTCCTTAGATTACTCCGATATATAATATCCATACAGAGTAAGGGAATATGAAAATTTTAGTATTCCATAAACAAAGGCAGATTAAAATTTAATTAAATTCCTAATCAGAGTTCTTTTACTTCCTTCTTTTTTTCTTCTTCTTAAACCCAGCAATTAACTCACATAATTCTGCAGTATTCAGCTTCTCTATAGACAAATCGATCACAATATTCTGGCCCATAACCATGAATTTTTGGACACCAAATACATTCCAGAACAAAGCAATCACAATATTGTGACCCGTAATAACCATGAAAATTTGGACACCAGCACATTGGCTTGACATTTTCTTCTTTTTTCTCCTTCTGAATAATCTTGACTGATTTTTTCAGCTTCTCTTTCAGTTCTTTCACTAGACACTCAATGTCCATTTCCCCATCCACTGTCACCAAGTTCTTTGACCTATCGATGAATATTCCTTGAAACCCTTTTTAATATCATTTAAAACAATAATTCAGTCTATTAGTAAAACCCCTTAAAAAAACGAAAAAAGGAAATTTTGTTAAAAAGAAACTTTACCTTTGGTTTTGGTTATGATTTTTTGCATGTTTTCGACACACTTATCGCACCCCATGTTGATTTCCAGCATGATTTTTTTGGAAATCTCTTTCTCTTTATTTGGCTTTGGAGAAATTAATTCCACTGGTTTCTTCAATTTCTTTTGAAATTTCTGTTGAAGTTTTGATGGTTCCACTTTACCAGTCACTGTGACTTTGAATTTCATTTCAGTTTCCTCTATATTCATTGACTTTATACCTATCATAATAAACAAAAATAATGGCAAGTTTTAAAGAACAATTAATTAATAGAAATAGATGGCAAAAATGAAAAGAAGAAAAACTTAAATCAAGAAATTCAAAGATGGTATCATATATACCATGCAAATCTTGAGTACACTTGGAAATTCTTTTGAAACAATTCTTGCAATCACAATGCATGTCTATTTGAAGAACCACTTTAACGTTTTCTTCTTCTTCTTTCTTCTTCCCCTTCTGTTTGGAACTCATTTTTCTTTTTCAGTGTTTTTAAAATCACAGCAAAATGAAACAATAAAAAACAAGCTAAACGTTAGCTAGAAATATAAATAGTTACCAAAGTAAAAAAAGGAACCTAGTCTTAACTTTCCATTTTAGGGCATTACGTGTGTTTGGTTTGTAAGAAAATTGGTGTTAGAATTCCCATATCATTTCCTTTTTCTTTCTTTCTTTCTTTTACTTTTTCTTTTTCGTTTAGCTAGGTTAGAAATTCTCCATAAAAAAGATAAATCTTCACTCAGAGGTAACAATAATTGAGGACAAAAGAGGAAGTGTATGCTTTGGTAGTATTAGGTGAGTTTTTCTGATGCTTTAAATGGTAAAATTTCCCCTTATAATAGACAAATTAATCCATGTATAGAAAGTTAGAAACTCGACGATAACAACTTAAAAGAGCATAGTATTAGGTGAGTTTCTGATTAATGTATTGCCTATTAATAGTAAGCACGTAGAAATACCTCACAACTGCTTTTGAAGTCAAGTATAAGGTCTATATCAAAATCAATTTCACCCGCTTTATCTAGTTATAACATGAAACTTACAAATTTCTTTTTTGTCACTAGAACAGTAAAGTCACGATGTTTTTTATCTTAATCATATTAAAGTAATTGAGTTTTACTTATTGTATTAGTAAACCCACTAATTTTGCCTATTATAACCATAAAACTTACCCATTAATGTGACTTAACTGTTATATATATAGTCGCTAAAGTGTAGTAACTTTACCATTATAGTGTTTAGTTAAGTTAATGTGACAAAAGTTATTTTGTAACTTTACATTAGTAGTAAATTAAATTCAGCTACTTTAAAGCGATAAAAAGTAAATTTATGACTTTATTTTTATAGTACGTAAAAACAAACTTTGCCTCCACATAGTTGACATCTGATTCAACGTCCGTCAAAAGCAACAAAAGTATTCTTTGGTAAAACTGGATGAAAACTTAAACTACGCACATACATACTTTTAGAAAGGGATAAAACCAATATAGACATATAAAAACTAGTGTTATTGCGGCTATGACTCGCCTTTCTTAGTATTTCTTAAGCTAATCCTTATTGATTTCATCCATTAAGCTTAAGAATACATTTATTTACTAATATAATGGCCGGTCATAATTCAATAAAAATTTTAAGTGAGTTTGCTTGAATTATGCTAAGTTCAGGGAACAGAGTGGTAATTGACCCGCTTATATCATCAAGAAGATATCTCTCGGCTTAGTTGAATTTTTCTACTCTTTGTTTGACTTAAAATGTTGCGCCGAACAATATTTAAGCAAATCAATCAAATGTATAAAAAGGGGTAAATCATAGCCAACCATAATTAATACCGAATTAAGAACTGAAGCAACAGGATAGCAGACGTAATAGAGATGACATTCAAGAGACTTTATTGATCATGAAAATTGGCCCTGCCTCTCCTTGGAGAGGTTCAGGGAATAGTAATCCATTTTCTATCCTCCAGATCGATCCTGCCTTTTTTGGGAGAGGTTCAGGGAATTCGTTTATCTCTCCTCTTCCGGGGCTTTTTCTTTTTTTGGAGAAGGGATATTCTTTTCCTTTCTTGAGAAGGAGAGAGAGAGAGAGAGAGAATGCCCCAAAAATATCTGGAGCAGGCCCCCTAAAATAACTCTTTTCTTCCCTATTTATAGTTGGGGCCTCACGCCCATTGTGCCTTCTTTTGGTCGACCAGGTAGAGGGGGCAACCTAAACGCTTGCTTCGTATTTGATGCGGATTGGGCGAGGTCAGATTCGCTGGTCATTGCTTTGGGGAGCGTACTTGAGACGGGGTCGATACCACGACGGTCGATTGGTCAGATTTCTGACCGATACAGTTAGTCCCTCCGTTCGTCGGGGTTGTACCCTATCGGCCTCGACGGACGGACTATGTAGCGACATGGTCGTATTGGGAGTCTGGTTCGTATTCCCTCTCTTAGTCACGCCATGAGTTTCGAAACAACATAGAGGGTGTTCGTCGATACTTTTCATACCGTCGCGACGGTTTCGAAGGTGAAACGGCGGCTGATAGATGGAACGTTGCTTTGTGCGAATAGTCGTAATGGCGCTTGACAGTGATTATGGCGCATGTTCCCGAGGGACCAAATTGTTTTCGTGACTGGCCAGCTTCTAATGACGACTGTTGGTCTCCGCGCTTGGGGAATTCGTGCCCTATAAATTGGTTAGACCTTGCACTTTATCATTCATACTTTCTTTTTGCCTGTCTTCGAGAGGGTCTCCGAAATATTCATCCCTTGGGCATTCTGAGCTCTTTCTTTGCCTCTTCTCTCACACTCTTCCTCTAATCTTCCTGTTTTTCCGGTAAAGCTTCCTTCTTCCTCTCTGAGTTAACGATGGTGGGAACTCCTTCTCACGACAATCTTCCGGCCACCCCGCCGGCGACTAAGGGTCACGCTCCGGCGGAGGGGGATTTAGACCTGGCGGAGAACGAAGATGTTCCCTCGGTGGATGAGATCTTGTTCCGTGCGGGGAAGGTGGTAGAAGACTTCAGCGCCGACGGCGGCAGGGAGTACCCTGACATTGAATCCCTTATTGGGGAGTCTGGAATAAAGGAGCTGAGGGAGCGATGGGGCATCCCCAGCTACATCGAGATAATACCCACCGAGAAAAACGACAAGGTGCAGATAGACCGCCCTGGGTACTGCTCGTTCTACGCGTACCCTTTCATTGTGGGGTACACATTGCCGTTCTCGATGCTAGTGGTCGACTTTTGTCGCTACTATGAGGTGTGCCCCGCCCAGATATCTCCGTACTTGTATAAGCTCTTTCTCATGTTCATTAAATACGCGGAGCTGGCAAGTCGTGAAGTCACCCTGAGGCATGTGCTTAGCCTGTTCGCCCCCCAAAGGATTCGGGGCACTATGATCCACGCGCGTCAAGAGGGTTGGTGGTCGGTATGGACGACCGTACCAACCGCCGCTTTGCTGATAATTTCTTCTTCGTGCAGACCGAGCATCTCGTGACGGATCCGACCGGCTTCCTGGCGGTGTGGAATTTTGCCCGTAAGTATCTGCTTTCGGTCTCCAGAATTCGTTTCGGTCTATCTTCCCTTATGTCTTGTGTTACCTGTAGACTTATTTCTGATGTTCTGCAGCCGAGAAGGTGCCGCCGCCGCCCTTGGAGGGAATCCGGGAATGGGTAGAGGCCGTCCTGCCCCACGCAGCGGGGATTCGAACTTGGGCGTCGTTCCATCTGAAGTTCGGTCGTAGGCCCCTCACAGGTGAGATTGCTTTCTTACTTCCCGACCTCTTTTGTCCATTTCTCATTTCCTGAACTTTGTTCGTTGTGATTAGGGAGGGTTCGCAGAACCCGGGCCCCTCAGTTGGCGTTTCGTCGCCCAGGTGCGGTCGCTCGGCTTAGTGCTCCATCTGTAGCTCGTCCTTCGTCGAGGGCGACATCTGTGGAGTCGGTGGCTCTCACCAACCCAGCCCGGGCCGTGCCTCAGGATGAAGGCCCGTCCGGTACTGTTCGTCCGCGAGCTGAGTCGTCGTCGACCGGGGAGGAGGACGAGCCACCAAAGAGGCGGAGAGTGGGCTTCGAGATGGCTCCCCCAACGGTGATTAACTTGGATTCTCCTCCGGCGGGCCAGGAGGGAGGCGTTGTCGCAGAATCTGCTGCAGAGGCGGAACATACGGTTGGTGCTTTTCCTGCGAGTCAGAGCCCAGAGGACTCCGCTGTTGCTGCACCTCGAATAGAAGTTCCTGCTGGATGCGACGAATGATCGGTCCTTGGAGACTACTGCCGCGACCTTGGTCGAGCCGCCGTCATCCTCGGTAGGTCGTGCCACACCGTCGGCGGCGGAGAGGGGGAAGACCGCGCTGGTGGACGAGTATGAGTCTGAGTCCGACCTGGACCCTGATGACGTTCGAATGTTTGAAGAGGGCATCACCCATTCGGTGGTCAATGCGGGGGGGCCGGCCCGCCTCGTTGATATTCCCGCAGATATGAACCTGTTGGCCCAGAGGGGTGAGTTGGTGGAGCAGTTCAGCCTGCTGTGTTCCGAGGCTGAGAATGAGTCCCTGAGGGAGGTTCCGGACGTCGCCGTGATGGAAGAGGTGGCCGTAATGGGCTTGCGGGTATGTTATACTAGACTTTTAATCCGTCGGCCCTTTAGTGTGGAGCGGACGTTTTTCTAACTACTCTTTATGTTTTGCAGTCGTATATACTAGAAGTGGAGAATATCCGCAAGGCCAACGTTCGGTCGAGGATCTTTTTACAGATGTTGGGGAAGTACCGTCGTTACCGCGATAGGTGCCGTGAGCTACATGAGCGGTTGAGAAATGATCCTCGCAACCAGGCGTTGGGCGAGGAGTTGGAGCGGAAGGACTGTGAGCTATTGCAAGTGCTGCGCAGCAGGAGTGAGCTCGAGGAGCGAATTCGTCTCAAGGACGAGGAACTCGAAGTGGGGAGGGGTGTCGCCGCCGAGTGCGAGTATCTGGAAGGCAAGGTGCGGGAACTAAAGCTGGAGATAGAGCAAAGCCGGGCCAGAATTGTGGAAATTGAGGCCGAGTGGGGAGCGAAGCTGGCTGCCCTGGAGGTTCAGGTCGCCGACCTGGAGCGTGCGGAGAGGGACGCGTCAACTAGGGCGGCGGCCTTTGAGGCAGCGGTTCGCGTCCAGGAGTCTCAACGAGAGTCAGAGGGTGAGGCTGCGGCCCTTAGGGAGGCGAGGCTTGAGGAGCGAATCGGCGAGATTGATCAGGAGGCCCAGGATTTGTCAGATCGGGTTGCTGTTTTGGAGGAAGAGAACCAGCGCCTGAGGGCCTTGGCTGGACCGGCTCGTGCCGGCGTTTCCCCCCAGACTCATGATCTTTGGGTCTATGCCGAAGACCAGCTTGACATTTTTAAGAACCTGTTGGAGGAGGGCGCTGTGTCTGAGGAGGCTGTTGAGGTGGCACGCCAAAAAGCCCGCGAAGCAAGAGCCAGCTGCGGATATGACGTGGGGACGCCCGAGACCGATG